GGGTTTAAATCTGGACTAACAGCAGGCCATGGCAGTAGTCGGATGTTGTGCTGCTGGAAAAATGCCTGAGTGACTCTAGGAGTGTGGGGCCTGGCATTATCTTGCTGGAAAATGTGTTGCTGGTGTCGGACGAAAAATGGCACAACCTGGGGTCGGATGATCTGGTCGATATAACGTTGGGCAGTGACTCCATTTCCCCGACCTGGCCGAACATTCTGGAAGAATACTGGCCCTAATCTCTGATCAGGCCAATCGCTGCCCATACCATAACGCTCGCACCTCCCCATGCATCAACTTCCATTACACATTCGTCAGCAAAGCGTTCACCTCGTCTTCGCCATATTCGAACTCGGCCGTCAGCATGAGAAATGCAAAACCGACTTTCATCAGAGAACCATACCAGTCTCCACTGTTGATGACGCCAGTTTCGATGCAACGTAGCCCACTGCAGACGATTCTGACGATGTCTCGGTGTGAGGATAGGACGTCGAGCTGGACGACGACAATAGAGGTGGACTGCTCTGAGTCTGCGCCGAGCTGTATCTCCGCTTATTGCTCGGTTGTGACGTCCAATAGTCTGTCGGGCAGTCTCGTTGGCAGATAAGAATCGATCCCCGATGTGCGAACGTTGAAAGTGTCAATCTTGCCGTGGTGTTGTGACTCTCGGACGTCCAGGACGTTGGAGGTCAGCAGTGGTCTGTGTAGCAGCAAAACGTTCCTGATAGGTAGATGGTCGTGATGTGCACATGGGATGCATTGGCAACATCTGCAACACTCTGTCCAGCTTCAAGATGGCCGATGGCTTGTTCCCTGTGTTGCGTCGTTAACCTTGGCATTCTTGGTGGGCGTTTGTCGGGAGTGATTTCAAACTGATTTGAGGGCATTTTTACACCCCTATGTGTCCGTGACAAAATGCGCATCATGATTTTCATAAAAACTTCTGCAACCACATCCCACGGGCAATTCAATTGCTGCGTTTTTGCGATGTGCAATATCCAAAAAAATCACCAAACAGAACCTGAACATTACAAAAACCGTTTTTTCACAACAAAGGTAACCAATGTGTAGTTACACTATAATATTTAACAATGTTCTGTCGAATATTTATTAATTTTGAAAAACTTGCGTTTTTTATGCGGTTCAGTATATTAAAGTGTATCAACGGTTAAGGAAACATAAATGATTCATAAATGACAGATGAACTTTTTAATTGTTTGGTTAGATTAGAAACTGAGATTTTTGGTGGTTGTACCTTCAAAGGTTGAAGTAGCGTAAACCTATTGTCCTCCTGAGAGGGTACGTTAGTTCCAAAACATTCGAAGTCAATTTTAAATCTACCAGATTTTAATCGTGGGATATTTGTGTTTTTTAAGTGATGGCTAACTTTGGGCACAATCGCCAACATCTGAAGGGACGATGTATATCCAGATAGCGTCCATGCAGATAGCAAATATAAGTCCCCATGGTCCCTAGATGGTGATCTACCTTCAGTTGCTGGTGATCTATAGCCTGTGTGTATTGTCCGTATAGTGCGTATTATATTAACATTAGATGCTGGTTTTAAATCTAACTGGGATTTTCTGGTTGTTCTACTGACCCTTGACGACAGGTTTAATGTTATACATATATTCCTTTGCAATGTCCAATTGGTTCTCGTCACGATATGGCTGAAATATTGCCGATGTGATGATAAATATTAACTGACCCATTCACTGTTCTAGAGATTGGTTTGCTCACACAACCGAAGATCTGTGTGTGTGTGTGTGTGTGTGTGTGTGTGTGTGTGTGTGTGTGTGTGTGTGTGTGTGTGTGTGTGTGTGTGTGTGTGTGTGTGTGTGTGTGTGTGTGTGTGTGGGGGGGGTGTGGGGTCATAAAGAATCACAACCCCTCAACCCCCGCAAGCCATAAATTATGAACGGTCCCTTTGCACAAAAATCCAGCCGCAGAATCACATCCCTATTTAATCTGATAGCGAAAATTATAAAGGACATCTAAAAATATAACTATGCCAGTTTATGAAGAAAAAACTGTTGGTTAAGTGTAGCCTCTGTTTAAATTTTGTGTGTGAGTAATTTACTCACGCCTGGTTACATTTAATCACAGGTAATTAATTATGGCATTTCATGTAGGGACACATAGTTAGTACTAGTACCTTGTTAAATTTCATGTTGGGACGCATATTTAGTAACAGTACCTTGTTAAATTTCATGTTGGGACGCATATTTAGTAACAGTACCTTGTTACATATCATGTTGGGGCGCATGTTTAGTAACAGTACCTTGTTACATATCATGTTGGGACGCATATTTAGTAACAGTACCTTGTTACATATCATGTTGGGACGCATATTTAGTAACAGTACCTTGTTACATATCATGTTGGGACGCATATTTAGTAACAGTACCTTGTTTCATATCATGTTGGGACGCATATTTAGTAACAGTACCTGTTACATATCATGTTGGGACGCATATTTAGTAACAGTACCTTGTTACATATCATGTTGGGACGCATATTTAGTAACAGTACCTTGTTACATATCATGTTGGGACGCATATTTAGTAACAGTACCTTGTTACATATCATGCTGGGACGCATATTTAGTAACAGTACCTTGTTACATATCATGTTGGGACGCATATTTAGTAACAGTACCTTGTTACATATCATGTTGGGACGCATATTTAGTAACAGTACCTTGTTACATATCATGTTGGGACGCATATTTAGTAACAGTACCTTGTTACATATCATGTTGGGACGCATATTTAGTAACAGTACCTTGTTACATATCATGTTGGGACGCATATTTAGTACTAGTGCCTTGTTACATATCATGTTGGGTTTCATATTTGGTACTAGTACCTTGTTACATATCATGTTGGTACGCATATTTGGTACTAGTACCTTGTTACATATCATGTTGGGACACATATTTAGTACTAGTACCTTGTTACATAAATGTTGGGACACATATTTAGTACTAGTACCTTGTTACATAAATGATGAGACACATATTTAGTACTAGTACCTTGTTAATTTCATGTCGGGACACATATTTAGTACCAGTACCTTATTCATATCATGTTGGGTTTCATATTTAAAGAAATTGGGCAATGTAAATTTCAAAACATTTTTCAAAATATTTGATACAAAAATTAAACCAATTTTGCTATATGGGGCAGAGGTTTGGGGGTTTTCTCGGTTGGAAGCACTGGAAAAGGTTCACTTGTACGCTTGTAAAAAAAGTCTTAGGAGTTAAATTAAATACCCCCAAAAATGTGATGATCTATGGTGAATGCGGTCGCTTCCCACTTTATCTAGAAGCACAGATAAAAGTTATCAAATACTGGGTAAAGGTCTTTAATATGCCTGCATCAAGATTTCCCAAGAAATGTTAAAACATGATGTGTTTGTTTGATACCAACGGAAAGTCAAATTGGGTAACGAATGTTAAAAATTTACTAAATCATTGTGGTTTTAGTGATGTTTTTTTGTCACAAAAGATTACCTGCCCAAAGTCATTTTATAATGCTTTATCTACCAAGTTTAAATTTAATTTGTTAATGAACTCTATTAATACAACTTATATTCGCAAACCTGGTATGTATATCCACCATGCTTTTGAACATAGAAAACATTATTTGCAAACATTGTCATTGTATGCCATTATTGTTCTCATACTTTGTACTATAGGTCTGTGGCCTCTTCAGTAATGGAATAAAGAGAGTTGAATTTAGTACTATTACATTGTTACATATCATGTTGGGTTTCATATTTAGTACCAGTACCTTGTTACATATCAAGTTAGGTTTCATATTTAGTACCAGTACTTTGTTACATATCATGTTGGGTTTCATATTTAGTACCAGTACTTTGTTACATATCATGTAGGGTTACATATTTAGTACCAGTACTTTGTTACATTTCATGTTGGGACACATATTTAGTACTAGTACTTTGTTACATGTCATGTAGGGTTACATATTTAGTACCAGTACCTTATTGGATGTCATGTTCGGTTTCATATTTAGTAACAGTACCTTGTTACATATCATGTTGGGACACATATTGAGTACTAGGACCTTGTTACATATATGTTGGGACTAATATTTAGTACTAGTACCTTGTTACATTTCATGTTAGGTTGCTTACTCACTCACCAAAAGTGTTAAATTTCATGTTCGGTTTTACTCATAACTAGCTATTTCATTCTTCACTCTTTGACATGGTCTGCGATCATTTTCTGCGTTTGCTCCATTACCAGCTGTGAATGGCGTTCATAACAGAGCGACGAGCATTGAGTTGGTCTACAATGAAACCTCTTGTACACCAATGGGAGATGCTCAATACTCCACGTCTTTGTCTGACTCGATCACAGAGAGTATTGCAATGAGCCCAGATACATGCGCCCAGATAGAAAAGAAATACTATTGGCTGCCTTATACAATACGTGCAAACAGAGCAAATGCACCAGTGCAGCAGGGTGTTTTTGACTTTGAGGCATGTTATATGTATGGCATCTTACATGAAAGTGTAGCTATGTACTTGCAACCTCATTTCCCCATTGTATGTGTGTACACTCACCATTGCATAATATAGGTGAGTCTGTATATAACTCATGTCTATATTTAAATAAAGTCAAACAGCTAAGAGAAACTTTATCATTTACTTCGCTGGCAGGCGTGATTCATGCCATCAATCGTTGTCTGCATTATGGGCTTATGGCCTATTTACTGAATGAACTGTCTGTGTCTCTATAAGGTGTTGGATCTGGATAGTGTACAACAGTTGTCCCATGTTGGAAAGGTAATTCCAAACATGCCTTTCGATGCCTTCTTACGAATAGTTGTCCCATGTTGGAAAGGTAATTCCAAACATGCCTTTCGATGCCTTCTTACGAATTTCACACAGGGCTCCTCGAAAGGTTAATGCTAACATATTCCAGCACATATCCCAATAGAAGATAACGTAAAATCTACGTATCTCCGCTTGCTCACCATTATCATCATCCATACAGCATCAAAAGCAACAAATTGCGACACTTCTTGCACGATGTAGTGCATATATAGAATCGGGAGCTAGCTCTCGAATTATATCCGTATGTCTGGGCATTTCTAAAAACAGAACACGATTTAGTTTCATTGCACGGCAAAGAAACATATAAGTAAATTTCATCACCAACATCATGACACATGAATATTTTACTTATTGTTAACCATCACCAAATACAAATGTATAAAAGAAAGCATGTGCAATTCTAGTAGCTAGGAAGGTATATTCATTAATTACTTCATTAACCCAAATGGTAATCGATGATGATGAAATGACGTCACAATGTAGTTTTACTTCTATTACGAAGCTGCTGACATCGATATCTGAACGATCTAATCCTACACTATTGCTCACAGTGGCATGAAACTTTATGTTAAATACCAAGAAATACGTAAAACATAGTGAACAAACATAACATATAAGACTATGCTTCAGTAGTAACACATCCCTGGGCATCCTCTGTTTTTTCGTATGCGTCATGTGGGTTGTCCGTGGAGTATAATCGTTGCAAGGCAAGATGTTCTGGTTGATTGTGCATCTTCTGAAGATACCGTTCTTTGTCCTCGGGCAGGAATGGACCCCAATCAGTAGACGGAGAGCTTGCGAGACGGAGACGCTGTTAAATGCATAAAAATCATTTTCAGCAAATTATTATAAACAGGTCACGTTCTACCAAAATACACACAAAGAACCGAATTAAGCACTCACTGACATATCTCTCGATTGAATTTTAACCCTTTGGAGCATATCTGGGACATGACTGGTCATCGTGTGAAACAAAGGGATCCTCCTGCACAGAACATGGCCCAACTGGAAGCTGCTTTACACGAGGAATGGAAGCTGACAGGGGGTATGAGGAGGAGAGTGCTTGCTGTCATACAGTCACATCGAGGTTTCACTCGGTATTGACCTTGAATCGTGTAAGACACGTAAAATGACATTTGACGTTGAAGTTGACCTCATTATTGCACATTTCCGACAACATCATACCATGTATATGTTGAATAACCGTTACAAAAGATCGATATTTCAAAATGTCATCTTTGAAGGATCTTCTTGATTTAAGTCCTCATTAATTCTTGGTATTAAAGGAAAGTGATTTGATCCCTATGTTTTGATCATGGAGTGTAATTAATAAGTTCGCATTAATTTGGTCGAATGAATAAATAACTTTGATGGTTAGTGGCTGCTTCCTCGGAGGAGGTTGAAGTAGCGTAAAATAATTGTCCTCCGAAGAGGGCACTGAAGACCATATCAATGGATGTTTATAACTGCCAGAGTTTTAATCGTAGAATTTTGTTGTTGCTTTAACTTATGGCAAACGTGCTAAAAATCGCCAACAGCCGAAAAGATGATGTAAATCCAGCAAGGCCCCATGAGGTAGCAAAAGTAATGTAAGTCCCCATAGTCCCTAGCATGGTGATCTACCTTCAGTTGCTGGCGATCTATAGCCCGTTTTCATATTGTGTTGTTGAGGAATGATTAAGCATTTTACACTGAACCCAAACTAGTTTAACTAATTTGTGATGATTTAGTTGTTATACTGCCCTTCGCTGACAGCTTTTTATAAAAGTACTTATTATCAGTATATGATTTTTGTCGTCACGATATGGCTGAAATAGTTCCAGTGTGACGGTAAATTTTAACTCACTCACTCACTGGCAAAGTTGACACCTGATGTTCGTGGAACGGTGACCCCAACCAAATGAACAAACACTGGAACATGTCCAAATGGAGAATTGCACTTCATTGTTGTCTTAGACGTGTTAAAAGTGGAAGTGTCCTCCTCATGTTTACCATACATATGTTGAAGGCTTCATTGCCCCCGTGACTGTTTCAACCCTGCAGATACAATATTCATGACCTAATATGACCAACATACATCATGTGTGTTTATTCATATCCTGTACTACAGCATGTTTCGTTACATATGTAAACCTACCTCAAGAAATGTTCCTTTCTGCTTTATGAGCTGGTATACCAACATGACAGGTATTGGCAATGACATCACAACTGCCATTAAGATTCCGATCACCTTTGCGTATTCAGGGTAGATGTACTCGCCATAGCTTGGAGGGTCGTAGACAAACAGGGAAAGAATCAGGGACGCCTGTGTGGGATAAGCAGTAAATTAATTACACTATTATAAGTTAGGGAGTTGGTCTTAACTCCAATATGAACACTATGGCAGTTATCTCACGGGATATCAGCAGGTGTTAAAAGAAAGCCGGAGGTGATTGGCAAGTGGGTGAAACCAAACCCAGAAATATGTTCAAGGCCTTCGAACCCAAGATCACTTGTTTCGGGGCGGCACGACTCTGCACAACGAATCGTGAACCCCACATGAGTAAGACACCTGTGCAGTCACACGGGTACACAAGTTTACTTGTTCATTGTCTGCCGACCCGTGAAGGTCTGGGTTAGAATTGATCTTTACAACCCATGCTTGTCGTAAGAGACGACTAACGGGATCGGGTGGTCAGGCTCGCTGACTGGGTGGACACATGTCATCCTATCCCTGGATTGTCTGGTCCAGACTCGATTATTTACAGACCGCCGCCATATAGCTGGAATATTGCTGAGTGCGGCATAAAACTAAACTCACTCACTCATTGGCTGCCACGTGTATATGTAATGTTACTTACGTAGCTAGTCAGGTACCTCCATATAGCCCACTGTATCTCAGCAATATACATCCCTGATCCTGTATTTTTTATGCTTTTTCTATTATGTTCCCTAATAGCTGAGGACTTGAGTACTCACATCAGCTGGTGCTAAGACCATTTATGACTCAATAATAAACAAAAGCATCCCAGTATCGTATGCGTGACGCTGTTTGAGAAGGACCTTTGACAGTCTGTTTAAAGTTGAACTTACAAAGAGGATGACAGGGGAGAAGTAGGAAGACAAGACTTTCAGCACCGACGGGTAACGTCTTCCCATCATCATTTCAACATCGTCGCTAAATCTTTCAGAACCTGTGGAAAGTCAATAACATAATATAAATGACGTTTAATGTCGACATCATAGGAAAATATACAACTTTGTTTTGATGTCAAACACCGGTGAGAAAATATTTCCTTTCCTTAACCTAGGCAATAAACACAGTTTGTCATTAAAATTCCCCAGAGATATCGTCTGCAGCCGACGTAGTCGCAGCGAAAGCTTCGAAATATGTCAAGGAACTTTAACAACGTTTGGCAATTACATTGCACTGGCATTCAGTTTATGTTTACACTTATCTGTATGTACCGTGTCCGTGTGTATAAAATGGGCTATATTGGCTAAACGTCTCTCAAATCTCTTCTGCAACCAAAGTAGCACCAGCAAAAGCTTCGAAATATGTCCAGGAACTCATTAATTTAGTCAGTCAATTTGTGTTAACACTTGGGTAAACGTCTCCTACAAATCGGACTTACCATAGATCCAATTGATGGCGACACACTCCAGACAACCAACGATCAGTATGTTGAACGAGGACGCATACCAGTCTAATAGTTGAAACAGGTACACGCCACCCTGTAAGAGGAAAAACAAATGTTATTAAATTCATTAAAGGTAAACGTAAAACACAACTTTGCAGATTCTGATACCTTTCGGTATGGACTTACAGAAACAAATCATCAAAAATGCAAATTCAACTTATAAAGTTGAAAAATAACGCGATGAAAAAAAACGCGCGAAATCGTAGTTCAAACGATTCACTAATTTTCCCCAGCGCTTGGGGGAATTCAAGTGGTTTCAACAGCTGGGCTGCGCTCATAGCACGTGCGCGGTGAAATAGGTTCGCACAGCTTGGAAGCGGGTTATCCGGTGAATACTCGGTGAAGGCTTTGGTGTGAGCTATTTTTCTAATGTTTTGTTGATATTTCACAGGCGCGAGCTTTTTATATGTTATGACAGTAGATTAACTGTTTATATACTTTCATTTGTCTATTTCACCACACGTTCTTCTTACCGAGTCACTTTCTCAGTTCGATACTTAAAAGCAATGTCATTATTTAGCGTTGACAGAATTTCTAACTGTGATATAGATATGTCGTTGTCACGGACAAAACTCAATGTCTGTTTAATTGACACCTATGTGTCTGCCTGCCTGTCTGCTAATGACCATATTCAATACACAACTGCGATCACTGACCACATGGAATTTGAACTTAACACCAATCAGGCTATACACCATAAACAAAATGCATTGATTTATGGCCCGAGTTCGGTCTCTGTCACGTTATGTAATTACACAGACAGGCAGGTGTGATACTTGTACACATGACATGTTATGATGTCTGTTGATTGCAAAATGTTATACACAAAAAATGAGCATGTATTTACAAAACCCAACATCTCTATATATACACACACAATGAGCCGTGAGGCATCTGCAAATGAACCAGCCGTTACACTTGAGTGCACATCCACCCGCTCTGACTGGGTTCGGTATCCCGGCTGCTTCGTTTCTTGGGAAGTAAACCCAAGTACACAATATTGCACTTCTGATTTGCGATTGTACGCTTATAATTTTGTTTATATGTTTTTTCATAACCAGCAATGTATATTATATGTCATGAATAAGTGATAATTTTGTTTTAATTATGTTTGATTTTTTGGTTGCATGTGACCTTTAAACGTCGCAACGTATAAAACCATATACAACCTACGAGAGGCACGACATTAAGTCAATTGTGTTTTGGAGGAGGTTCAAATCCAATCAAAAGTTATACGAATGCTTCGGAATCGAAGGAGGAGATGACGTGTGAATCTTGCAATACGAAAAGCACGAATTCAGTAGACTAGTTCAAGAAAATAGTCTGGAAACTGAATAGGAATCAAACTGCACAATACATCCATGAAAATCAGCACAGTTGTTTTCAAACATTGGAATAGGACATCAGAGGTACATCAATGCACGTTATGCATGCTAACTAAGGTATCTTCCATTATGGCAAATAGGAACCACCTTTCATTCTGATTGATGCAATGTGATTCTAACCTTTAATCTACTTTACTTTCTGGTGCAGTAATATACAAAGGATGAACGATAATTCCGACGTTCTACTTAGAAGGATTTTTGAAATAGTGAACTCTTTCCTACAGTTTGTCTGTTTTCAAAACGTCTGCTTGTTTTACGTGTCACAGTGCTACAAGTTCCTCAGTGGACATACATGTTATTATTATACCTCGATGTCAACATGTCTACACCAAATGAGTTCACTGCACCATTGCTGCTCACTTCCTTTTACGTGAGGCTTCGAACTCCTCAACAAACCCTCAGAAAGTGATTTAAGGAATTAATATACATTGTACATGTATATCGAATGTTAAGTGTTCAAAGAGCCTCACTTCAGTTGCATAGGGGATGGAAATTAGAAAGTTGAACAGACACACTCCAGCAGTGACATACACCCTTCGATGTTGCAGGAACTTTGGGTAGGTTTCTATTATGGCAGCTATTACCGTTTCCAGGATTCCAAACTGTAAGAAAATAATATTTATAAGCTGTTCATATTTACAATGAATATGGAAACTAAAATATTATGATATGAGGTATTCTAGATGTGCTTATACCACTTCTTGTCTCAATAGGCATTTTTCTCGGTACCTGTTGTGTAAATAAGAACGTCGCGCTTCACAATTATGTGCATGGTGACGTGATTTCACGAATGATTGGTGGTGTCTTGTTCATGGATGACTGAACTGTACCGGTACAACCGTACACCAAATAGGAACCAGGTTAGAATCTTCCGCAACCTATGCTTGTTGTGAGAGGCGACTAGCGGTACGGGTGGTCAGGCTCGCTGACTTGTTTCATACATGTCATCGTATCCAAATTGTCTAGATCGATGGTCATGCTGTTGATCACTGACTTGTGGTCTAATAGACTTGATTATTTACAGACCGCCGCCATATACCTGGAATATTGTTGAGTGCGGCTTTAAACAACAAACAAGCATATAAACTGCAATAAGTATTATCTTAAGTAGCGATAGTCAACATACTGTACAAATAAATAGCAAGACATTTAGCCATATAAGACACACGCTTGTGCTAAGATAAGCTCCAGTGAAATCACGTGTACATGGTGTGGCCGCCATGTAATGTTTGACTTCTGAAATATTCACCAAAACCAAACGTTTCCAAGACATGTTCTACTGGTGAATGCGTTTCAAGTCTGATCAACTATTGGTCTCCGCTACGTAGTCTATTATATCCTGAAATATATTTACCACAGAATCTATTCCAATTGTTAGCAGCATGATGAAGAAGAGCACTGCCCACATCTGAGACACTGGAAGCTGGGCGATTGCTTCGGGATAGATGATAAACCCTAGTCCAGAACCTGGTACAAACAGTTGTTGATTTAGTAGAGGTTTTATAACACATTGCCATATGCATAACACATTGCCATATGCATACCTTGCTATCATACAACATTTAGAGATGTGTGACTTGATTGAGGTACACTGATTAGGATTATTCCATCCACATAACGGAGGGGATAAAAACCTGTTCAACCATTATCCCTGAGTGAACTGATATGTGTCTTCAGTGTGACGAACGAACGCTAAGCCACGGTACATCACATCGCAGATGCCTCAACGTAATAAGACGATGTTGCCTAATATAACCACAAAAGAATTGCTGTTTGGCAATGTCTAGACGGAGCGTCGAAAGATGCTATAGTTGAGGCATCTTAAGTTGCACATGTCATAGTACCTACCCAAATCAAAACGTCAACGCCAGAAGATAATCAATCTTCATTATTTGCCAAATAGCATTCCAAAGGATATTAAGTCAAGAACGAATGAATGGATCACGAAAATCACCAGCTATTCTCTAAATAAAAACGTAAATGTGTGTTACCTATCGGTGCCCTTATCAATATTCATCCCACAGGAGGAAGCATCGACAAGACAATGGTCAGTACCAAAAGCAACAGGGAAATAGCGTTATCACTGTGTAGAAATGTGCATATAGTAAAGACTAATGTAGAAGTAAATGTTAAACTTACGAAGAGGCAAGCATAAGGGTGCTTTGTGTCATCAGAGACAATAATTAATGTTAAGTACATACACACGAAAAACACATTCTCTAGCAGTTCATATCTTATGGCACCAGTGTTTCGTACTCATACAACCACAGTGGTTTCTGAGAAAACCTATCCGCATTCAGACGCTGTGTATATAACTGTTTATGCTTGAGGGAAAACAAAAGCATATGGCAAAGAATGTACGAAATATTTTTTCTTTGATATGCATGCAAACTTTCATTGAAGTAACTTCAGTAGATGCTGCCAAATCGTGTTCCAACTATAGGCAAAAAGTTACAAAACTAAAATCTTGCACCAAGGAAAATAACTCTGCACAAATTATTATCAAACACCAATTTTCGGGCTCCTTTTAGATCCAGACAAGGGCCATAACCTTTTCAAAATATATACTGAACATCATTGAAAACGCACCAGTCTAAAATTGTCCATATTTTCATCAAGATGGATTTCAGCAGGACAATGATCAATGAATATGACTAAAATGAAGTCGAAGGGCATGTCTAGTTGACAAAATGCTTTAGAAACAAATTCCTGTTCACAGTATGAAACTTTATTCCAAAACGCATCAACCTGCAGTCACTCCATGAAAAAAGCGCGAATTTCATTCTGAAATCATGCTCACTGTGACATTAAAAGCAGGTGTATGAGAAACGATTCTCATTGCTTCACTAACGATTGTGAAACGAGGACAGAGATGCCGAGGTTAACACCTCACGGAAGAGAACGTGCACTAGGCATGATTCAGGTTGGCACCAGCAGCAGGGATATTGCTCGACAACTTGGACTTGGCCACTCCACCATCGTTTGGATTCATAGACGACATCAGCAGACAGGCAGCACCCGTGAACTTCAACGACCTTGGCAACAACGTGTCACGACCTCCCGTCAGGATCGCCATACTGACCTTGACCATATCCGTGATCAAACACTGCCGACTGTCAGGACTGCTGCAATAGTTGAAGGTCGACGTGGGATCATCAGCGCTGAGACCATGCGACGCTATCTACACGCTACAGGGCTCTATGCTCGACGTCCTTACGTTGGACAAATTATGACTGACAGACACCGTAATGAGCGTATGCAATGGGCTAACAGGCATGTTCAGTAAAATTTACAACAATGGCATGGTGTGGTAATCACTGACGAGTCACGTCTTCACCTACGAAATCTGACGGCCGATTACGTGTTTGGCGTAGACGTGGTGAACGTTAAGCTTATCAGTGTGTGGTTCAGACAGACCGTAGGGTGGTGAGAGTGTCATGGTCTGGGGTGCAATAAGTTACAATCACAGAACTGCCCTTCATGTCTGTCAAGGGAGAGTTAATGCCCTTTGCTACCGTGACCAGATTCTTCACCATCACGTCGTATCATTCTTCAATCACCACCAAGATGTCCATACTTTTCAACAGGACAACGCACGGGCACACACAGCTAGACTTCCCATGCAGTATCTGGCCCAGCAACACATCCAGGTTATTCATTGGCCAGCACAGTCGCCAGGTGTATCCCCCATTGAACACTTGTGGGACGAAATTGGTCAAAGTCTTTCGCGGCTACAATAGATGCGAAACATCCTGGAACTTGAGGCTGCACTACTGCAGAAGTGAAATGCCATCCTCAAGAACTCTATTCGGACGCTTATTGACTCAATGAGGAGACGTTGCACTTCATGTGTCAATGGAAATGGCGGTCACACGCGATATTGACCTTTCGATTTGACCCCACGTGTGTTTGATCCTTTCTGACTGTGGAACAATTAAATGAATGAGCGTCTTTCCTGTGTTGTTGTTTTCGTCAGTCGTCCATCTGTTATTATCCACTAAAACAATATCAACTCCTTACACGTGCTTTTAGTAATCTGAACTTTTGTAAGTGGTGCGTTTTCAATGATGTTCAGTATATTTCAGACACCAACGTTCAAAGTCATTTTAGATCGTGACTAATTACATCGGTGTGTCCAATTTAAGTTCTCCAACCCGTACAGTTTTTGAGAAAATGTGTCCCCATTTAAAAGGGCATGGGCGGGCCATAAGGCGGAAGTAAGGACTGACGGAGGAAACTCCGTTCCAATACTGCCCCGCTCCTCTTCTAAGCGGGGATAATTATCCACTGCGTCGAGTCCACATCACAACTAAATTGTTTACCCGATGATACGACTTCTGATATATGTATTTGAGACTGATGTGCCATGAAGCCCAGGGTAGAGAAGACCACAAGACCACAGAATATACTGCTGGCTTCACCAATGACAGTAAGTAACATCACGTCTCTGAAAGGAATAATTAGTAACATCATTACGTCATTGTATTCCACATCTGGAAAAGCTGCAACAAACAAATGTGCTTGTTTGCCTACCAATGAACGTATCTAAATTTGAAAAGCACAGATATTCTACACGTGAGATCTGTTAGAATGATTGGTTTTGATTTCGTGATTATCATCTTAAGACATCTGACAAATAGTACGCTGAAAAGTACCTGTTCGTAATGTTTCGAAATTCAACATGAATCAGGATCATACTGTTTTCTAAAACATTTTACAGTATTTAATTGTCTTTATTTCTTATCTTAATTTCAGATTTGTGGAGGCCCTCCAGTAGAAGAACTGTTGACCTGAAGCAGTTGTTGTGGAAGTTGTTGTAGCTGCTCATGGTGATGAGGCCTCCGTACGTTGTACTCATAGAATAAAAACCTTGTAGCAAAGCTTCCAGCCAAACCTTTGGGTGAAATAAGGCAACATTTTCATGTTCTCTTGTTACATGAGAAATTGTTATTCCTATACATGTAAGTGGTTTTAACTTCTTTAACATAAATTACATTTCTGTTCGTTAGTTGGATCTGAAAATGACCATTTTCCCATTGTTATTATATTGATAATACTTGGGCATCTGACCTGTATATTGCCGAGCCGAGAGAAGTCTGGACTAAGGAAATACAGTATACCGTCCCCAGCACCCGGCATCATGCACGACCTGACCAGCAAAGCGGTCAGGAGAACGTAGGGAAGAAGGGCAGTCACGTACACAACCTGTTTTATAGAAAAAAGTGAAAAGTCTATAAATGCTAGAATCTGGACAGGTACATAGTACATGATGACAACAAAAAAACCAGCTGTCACAGAACTCAACCTCACGACAAACATGGTCATCACGGTGTTGTTCAAAGAGCAGTGTACGACCAACCATAAATCTCATCACTTCGTTGATAATTATAAAATGTTCAGAAAAGCCATGTGCAAGTGTGGTGTTTAATGTCTCTTCTTATGTACATCAATCAGTACCAGTGACTTATTCTTAAAGGTGTAACGGGAGTATTTGGTCTGAGCCATATGATATTTGTATCCCACCTTTCCAACAGACTTCACACCTTTCATCATACACAGAAATGCAAGAACCCACGAGACAAAGATGCAGAGGACAAGATGAACCTGAACTGTTCCGAAATTGTCAATACCGCTCGACACTCGTAGTGTGTTGTACCTGTCAAATCAATGATACTTTATCAAGATATATCATACGACATTCGATATGTCGTTAAAGCTATTTGATGAAATTGTAATGGTTCAGCCGTCAATAGTTTTGCTTATAAGATTATTGTTTCAATATATACTCCTCACACAAAATTCAGCAACAAGTATTTTCAGTGTAATATCTTTATCAATCTCGATAGCGATTTTTGCCGACATGTTATTCAGGTAAATATTCAAAGAATACATAACCCTTAGTGACTGTCAAATTGATTTGTCTGATAACATTGACATCACCCGAACACAACCACCCTCAGAAACAACATGCAAAATGTGTGGCATGAATGTGCTCCACTCTTCACACATGCACCCTGATCGGTGTAAACCTACCTGTAATCATTCGTCTGGAACAACAAGCGGGTCCTAACTTAATTTTTATGGATGATAATGCCCGTCCATGGATGATAATGCCCGAGAAAGAGTTGTTAACGATGTTGATTAGATCAACAACATCACACATATGGACTGGCCTGCAAGGTCACTTGATCTTTATCCCATTGAACATGCTTGAGACATTATTGGAAGTCGTGTTTACGGTCTCCATGTTCGCCCCCAGACTCCGGGTGACCTTGAGCAGGCGTTACAGAGAGAATGGCAGAATATTCTACACCAGCAACTTTAAAGGCTCATATGGTCAATGCAAATACGTGTAGAAGCTTGCATTTGTGCTCATGGTGGTCATACGCGGTACTGAACACTGCTTCACTGTCCAAAACTGACTTGAACCTTAATGTTAACATTTTGCTCGATAAATGCAGCACATTTTGCACGACTGTTTCGCGGGTACATTTGCTGATTTGTAGGTCTATTATTGCTCAATACCATTTTATTTCATTTTGTTAATCGTGTGTACATATGTTTCACCTTTCTATTGCATCATTCCATGATTTGCAATTTCAATAAATTAAAATGTAACGAGACTACAAATTTGTGTTGCTTAACTTTTTGTGAGGAGTATAAGTTTATGATCTCAACTTTGATATCTGTAATATGATCATATCAGTTGAATCTTTAAGTCCTAAGTCAGGCCTACATGAATATGCACAGATACATGAACGCACTGATGAATGTAATGTATTTCTTATGAGAAGGAAAACTATTCACCACACTGAATATCGCTACTGGATCAAACATAACTATTTCAACCAAAGACATTGGAAATGCTCAGAACTTATTTTCCCCCTAAGAGGGTGTGTATATGTAAGCCCATGTCTTGCAAAACTATTTATTCTTTTAGTGCCTTAAGCGTAGAATATGTGTTCTAATAAAATTTGGCTAAATAGGTCCACTATCTCCTGAAGGGCTTATGTAAATCCATCGAGGCAACATGCAGGTACCAAATATACTGCAAGTCTCCACGAACCATTGTATGCTGACCTACCTAAATTTGCTGGCGATCTACAGCACGCTTGTCACATGTACTGTTGTGAGCTGTCCCAGTATTATGGATAATTCTAGTTCAAAAATCTATATTTGCAATATTCTAGTTCCTTTGCTGAATCTTTGTCAACAAGTTTTTAGGATGCAACTTTATTTATTGTTAATGCGTATCCTGTTATAATCAAAATAAATATGGCTCAAATGGTGCCGATGTATGTTTCAATCTGATCTCACTCACTCACTCTTGTGCTCACACATTGTGGAAGAAGCTGGGAAAGTTTGGAATGTGAGAATGTGTTTGGGATGTGGAAGGGCCTCTCTTGGTATTTAGTTGTGATTATAAGGCTATCTGGCATAGGTAGTCAAACCTCACAGGTCTAACTCATATCCTTGTTAACATGATTATATGTCACTAAACCCTCTGCTCTTACTGCCAAAACTCCTCTGATGCCGTCAATGTTACATTCGGCTTCCGCCATACAGAGTTGAGTAGCTGATGATCCTCCGTGCTGTTAGTCAGGTAGGCGTCAGTGATTGATGAGCTGTTGCTAAGTTTAGTGACGCACAGTGGCGTATTCCACCAGTTGCCACATGTTGTCCATGGCAACACTGACCAGAAAGACCGGTACAAGTAGTAAATAGACCAGGCAATGATGAGGTTATAAGGCAGGACTGAAGTGAAAGAGGCTGCAACCTGAGTGATGCCAATTCCTGAAAATAGAGTACCATATGACAGTGTTATTTAATTATGTAAGACAGTGTTGTAATTGTATTAAATCGTCACTGTTGGGATTTGGAATTGGGCAGTGATGTGCTAGTTACTTATTGTTGACTGCGGACGAAAGCAAACTTGGAGCTTCTGGAGCAGTCGGAATAATACAGCATATTCTTACAGAATCTTCCGTTTTACTCTGTATGGAGGCAGCGTAAGCCTCACTCGTCACATATTACATCAAGAGAGGGAGTATGGTTTTATGCCGCTTTTAGCAATAAGTACCCATCTGGGGAATCGAACCCGGGTCTTCGCGATCGGCGTGACGAAAGAAAGCTTTTAACACTAGGCTACCCCACCGCCCCTATTACATTAAGATAATCAGTAGACGATTGTTTGGAAGACTGCCCACTGTTGTGCTATGTGTATATAATTATTGTTGTCTATATTGCTATAATCACTGTTATTATATTGTATCGTATTATTGCATTTCTATTGCCATTAAATTTGTTTTGGCATGTTAATCAATATTACAGTTACTTTCATTGATTTTGATCAAGTTTGTAGTTATTTTCAATTATGATGGTTCCAATGCATATATTTTCGTAAAGATATACAAATACATTTTGTTTCAACTTGGAAGAGTTATTGGGTGAGTGAAGTCGGTTGTTACGCTTGCTTTAATATTAATTCCAATTATATCTCGGAGTGTCTTGAAGAAAGTTTCAATTACAGATATACATCGAGAGTATGAAATCACTGTTAAACATGGATGTAGCACTTATAAGTATATTCATAACAGACGAAATATTTTTTTATGATTCTATTTAGGTGTAGACCTAATTCTAGTTTATAAAAAGAACCCATGTGCATGTTAGAACAATTCACTCAAACTACGTGTCATGAAAAACTTCACAGCGAACATTTGAAAGGGGTCGAAACATGAATAATGTTTTACTGTTTTACATAAAATGTCTGTTATGTGTGCAAACAGTCCTATAAAATAAATTTGATTCATTCTCAATATGACAAAGGTTTCCGCGTGGGCCATCAGTGTCCTCGTGTCATAAGTATTGATACATCTCTAATAGTGAAATGGAAGTCCGAAGACATTTGTTGATTGGATCGCCTGTGCAGAAAGGCGTTTGACTAACCTCTAAGCAAAGGACAAATGGACCAAGCATGTAATGCACTCCTGCTGGAGAACTGGCCAATGGAAGCTTCAAGGAAGAAGAGTGGAACAGAACACGTGAAAATCCCAGCAAAGTAGGGAATAAGAAACGCACCTGCGAAACAAAACACACTTTATGAATGTTGAGCTTGAGAAATAACGACACAACGTATCTTAATAAATCATACGTTTGTAACTTTTAAGAGTGTGGTACATGTCTATGGTAGTGATGATTATCATGGTACAAATTCAAAGTACTTTGTCATACACCTAACAGAAAAAAGTTAATGTCATTTTACGTGTAACATTTTACGCCTTTATGTGATGTAATGGTTAACATGTAAGGGTTTGGCTATCTTACTGTGAGGTGATCATAATGTAAAGGGTTTGGCTGTCTTATTGTGAGGTGATCGTAATGTAAAGGGTTTGGCTATCTTATTGTGAGGTGATCATAATGTAAAGGGTTTGGCTATCTTATTGTGAGGTGATCATAATGTAAGGGTTTGGCTATCTTATTGTGAGGTGATCATAATGTAAAGGGTTTGGCCATCTTATTGTGAGGTGATCATAATGTAAGGGTTTGGTTATCTTATTGTGAGGTGATCATAATGTAAAGGGTTTGGCTATCTTATTGTGAGGTGATCATAATGTAAAGGGAAATGAGGTTTCATGTTTCATCGAAAATCGGAATTATAGTATTTTTTCGTGTTGTAAAATAATCTTGACATAACGAGAAAACTTAACATAAACAATTTTAAATGAAACAAATTTCTCCAATTTTCGTAACAATAATTGAAACAGCGAAATAGTTTTAGGAAACTTGAAACGATAACATAATCAAAATGTAAACAACATTTATTCCTCAAATGCAAATATCGAGAAAATAATTGAAATAAAGTGAAAATAATGAGAACAAAATTGAAATTGT